AGGGGGAAGGGGAGAGGGAACGAGTGTGTGTATATATGTATTTATATATGTATATACGTATATATGTATATATGTATATATATATATATAATTATAATTATCAAGCTTTACAATCATTCACATTTCAGAAGGTGGGAAGAAAAGAAAGGGGATAGAGATTTGTTCTTGTTGTTGTTGCTGTCATTGTATCTCCCGTATTACCGTCGGGCGGGTATCCCAAACGCAAAGCTTAGCTACCTAGACCCTGGGGACCTCTTTTACAAGGTACAGCGACGTGCTACGTTAAAGTTAAAGAATTATATATACAAAGTACTATCTACCGTAATCGAGAGTAGATAACTCCGTTAAGGCAAGCCTCTCGTTACATAGCTGAACACTCGTAAACTTTTTTTTTAAAGCAATTCATAGTGCTAGACGTCGAGTTTCCTCTCGATAATGGTTGAATACGTGGGGCTTTCCGAGCGGCCTCGATCCGTATGATAGAAACATCTTTTTTTTTTTTTTTTTTTTTTTTGTCGTAGAGCTTGAAAGGCTCGCGGTGGTAGCTTCCAGATCCCTAGAGCCGGTGTGTTCTGTTTGCAGAACGCTCTTTTGAAAGTGTAATATCGTGTTTTCGATCAGTTGGATTAAGCCTCTTCTTATCTCGTCTTTTATACCCATCCTTTTTTTTTTTTTTGATGCAAATCCTTTGGGGTTTTTTTGGAGAGGTGGGTTTGTTGGCGTGGTTAGATGGGGAGATGGGATGGATTGGGTAGGTACGAGGCGTGGGGTGGGATCATGAGTAGGAGTAGGGAACGGGGAGTGAAGGAGTCGGATATCGATTTGGATTTTGGATTTTGGATTTTGGATTTGGAGGAGATGTACATGTAAATGTTTAGGTGCTAAGTAAAGACTTTGATTTAAAAATAACGGAAATGGAGGGGGGGTTATGAGTTGGCTGGCTAGTTGGATTGGATTGGATTGGATTGGTGCTAGCTGGCTGGCTGGCTGGCTGGCTTTGCGTTGTGTTTCTATTTCTATTTCTAGGAAATAGTTCTTTCTTTCTTTTGTTGGGTTGATGGGTTGATGGATGTGTACTCTGGAGGAGACTAAGGTTACCCCAATGTGTGTGCCCTTGTACTACGTCCCAGGCGTAAGTATTACCCCTCGAGAGTAGGGTAACCAGGGGGCTTAAAGTGAAAACTAAACTTTGGAGGCACCCTCGAGGGGTAATACTTAAGCCTGTACCGTGGTACGTTGTCGTACCTACTTGTCTCTTGCCTCGGTACCTACGTACCTAGTACGACAATGTCACCGTCCCTTAATTACAACCGATCTATAGTGTAATGATCGATCGCGCAGTTGATAGAGTCCTTACATATATACATACATCTCTTCTTTGTGTAGCATTATGTTCACACTTTGTATTCTATCATACCTCCTCCCTTAACACCCACCTACCTAGTCAACAGCACAACACAATAGTAAGACATAATATCGCATCTCCTTCCCTGTTCGCCAGAGGGCTTACTTTGGCTACGATCACCCGAATAACGGGCTGCAGAGTGGAGAGGTGGCGTATGATAACCGGGGCCGAATACGCCTTATTAGATTTTTTGATGATGGGGTGGATTGGATTGAGGGGTGAGATGGGGAGGTTGGGATGTGGGGGATGGAGGTAGATGGAAAGGGGGAGAGGGCGAGAGAGGGGTGTATAGGTAGGGCGAGTGCTGAGTGATGGGTTGCTGGGTTGGTTGGCGAGGAGGAGTGTCTATCGTGGTTGGTGATGTTCTTCACTGATAATTCAGCGACTTACAATTTGTTCAAATTCCTTTTTTTGGGGGGGGGGGGCATTTAAGAAGAGATTGGTATTATTTGAACGTCCCACTCACTTAAATACATGTATCTCTGATTTCTGATATTCAAACTAAGCAAAGACTTACCCTTGTCTTTCAATCACTCAAGCTGCTTTTCTAGGTTTCACTTTTACTTTTAAATCTATCTTTAATAAAGAAAAACTGAAGGTCAGCATCGGTTACTTCTGCTGGGGCGGGTATCTGTGGGTGAGATTTATATACGGGTATGTATATATAGAAAGAATGATAGGTAAAGTAAAGGAATAAGCTAGAGACGCGGACGAGGATGGAGGTGAGGATTGTGGGTGGTTTATTATACACATAGGACTTCACTTCCCCTTACTCTACTGGAAAGCTTCTTTTAAGAAAATCTCTATCATATCTGATTGTGGAATGACTGATTTAGTAAGAATGAACCGAATGGAGATCGATCATATTGGGTAGCTAGCTGTTCACGCTATGACTATCAAAACCAATAGCCGAAATTCGCTACAATATTTGTAAGCCCCCATCGTAGATACGAAACGGTAAACAGATTCCAGCAGCAGATTCCTGTAGCGAAGATCTTGCATCAGGCGGCAGAGAACTGTAAATACGCTGCAATGACCCCGCCAGGACTCCAGCCACCAGGGTTATTAAACTGCGTTGGGTTCGACACCCCATCCAGCACCATGGTCGTGCCAGACTTGGTCGCTATCCCAAACCAGTACAGAGCCTTCGGGGCGCCCGTGACCCGGATCTGGTTGGTGATGCAGTCGCTCCCACAGACCGTCTCGGGCGCGTTATACCTCGTCTGCGTCTCGCCGTGGAAGAAGGTCCAGAAGCCAGCCGCATAGAGGAAGAGGTTTTTCCCGCCGTCGATGTTGGCGTGGACGCCCATCCGGCACTTCTGGTCGCTCCCTCCGCACCAGGAGTAATCCGGGTCGCCGACCGTCGCGCTGGCCGTCCACGGGGCGGGGGCGTTCTGCTGGGCGCCCTCCCCTTGCCAGTACGCGGTTTCCGACTGCAGCATGCCGACGAAGACGTTCTGCGCGCGGTGGAAGTTGTAGCTGTAGAGTACGCAGTGCTCGAAGCTGGCGCCGGCGATCCAGGTCCCCTTGGTGGCTTCGACGAGGAGGCCGCGGCCGACGGCAATGTTCTGCGCTGAGCCCCCGTCGAGGGAGTGGTCTGCGATCCAGCCCCACATGTTCTCGATGTAGGCGCTCGAGGAGGCCGTGAGGTGGACCAGGGCGAACGCGGCTTTGCAGCCTGCCGTGTTGCCAGATCCGCAGGCGGTGTTGACTTGGGAATCGGCGGCTCCTCCGACCGTGACGTGCGTGTTCCAGAAGGCGACGTCGCCGGGGTTGGAGCCCGCCATGTTGACCTGCAGGATGGTGGCGCCGGGCAAGATCCCCGCCACGGTGAAACGCATGTCCTGGATCTCGGCGAGGCCGATTTCACCGGCGTTTCCTACCTTCACAACGGGAGCCGGGCTTGCTGCATTGGTGAAAGCCGCGCCACTTCCGGAGATGACGGGCCAGGCTTCTCCGACGATCCGGGATCCGGGTGGGATGTAGAGCGTGCTCTTGACGATGTACACACCATAGGGAAAGTATGTTATCTTGCAGTTGGCGGCATTCTGGAGGAGGATCGCGTTAAGCGAGGCCGCATCGTCCGTGGAGCCATCGCCAAAGACCTGGAACCCCGCCACAGACTTGACGTTGACGAACTGATCGGATGCGTACTGGCCATAGGTGGGCTGAGTCTTCATCAAGTACTTGCCCCCTGATAGGAGGGCAGCCGGGCGGGGGGTCGCAGACAAAGCTCCTGAGGTGTAACCACCCGGACTCTTGTTACCCCAGATCCAGGTGTCAACACTGGCAGTGCTTGCGAGCTTGACGTTTCCGTTGGTATCAACAGCTATTGGATTAGTACCGGAGTGCGACAGGTTTTCAATGACGATCTGATTATTGCGATCCCCAGAATCGTTCGATGAGTCGTGGAAAGTGATGACCGGGCCAGAATTGACGACGTTGGTGTCGAGAATGGCAAGAAACCCAAGCTGGCCGCTATTGGTAGTGTCGACTCCACGACCACAGGTATCGATCTTGCTCCCCTGGATGACTGCGGTCTTGCCTCCACCAAATTTTATGGCCGTAGTGCAGTATAAGAAATTAAGATTTTTGAGGTTCACTTGCTGGTTGTTGACTCGGATGCCAATCGAGCCGCCAACGAAAGACTATTGGAGATAAAGCTTAGTATCATTTGCGAGACGCGGGGACCAGCTAACGTACTACATCAGAGACTGTAATCGCAGACCCTGCAGTCATGTCGATGCCAACATGACCTCCAGAATCCGTGGGCATGTTGATCTTGATATTGGTGAGGTGGCAAGCTTGAGAGATGCCCCAGCCAAGACCCGTGACCGATTTAGCTTTATCGATACTCGTAGTATCGATGACAATGTTCTTCAGAGCCACGAAAAAGTTGGTCGTTGGGTCACCCGCCCCAAAGTCGTATCCTTGGATCAGATTGGTCCCACTGAAGGCCGAAGTAGCTTTAAAAACGGGCGGATTCGCCGGATCTCCAATGAGGATGGTGTTCAGACGCATGTCCAGAGTCGCTGAAATCATATAGGTGCCGCCGGGCACGAAGACAACGGCGGGCCGGATCGTGACTCCATTTTTATAGCGAGTTCCACCACTCCCGTCGTTGTTCAGGGCATATTGAAGGGCAGCCGTATCATCTGCTGCCGCATTGCCCTTGGCAGTGTAAGGTGCCGTTTTTACGTTGCGATAGACAGGATAGGTGTAGTCGGTTCCGAGGAAGGGAGCGTAACCTCTCGCATTCCCGGTGTGATCTTGAGCGTCCAACCAGTATTTGGCTTGCGTGCCTATAGCTGGACCGGTACATACAGCTCGGTCAGAGAGGTATTCTCTGAAGAATCCGATTAGCCCGGTACATAAAGATAGAGGCTGGCACTTACGGCTCCATCCCATTCGGTTGTAAGAAAGACTGAATCTCTGAGTCCGACACAAGAATTGGTCTGTCCACGACTCCAGCTGACGCCTTTGCCACCAACAAGAGCGATGTAATAACAAGTCTCATGGCTGATAAAAGATATGCTGAGCTGAGTCAAGGGTGGTGATGGCCTGTACGTTGGGGCAGCCATCACTTATACCTGATATATCAGTCTGGTGATCAAACCAGAATTTCACACGACTGATTGCATATAGCAGTGACTTCTGATCATAAGCATGAATTCGGATGATCTTATATTGATTATGCAGCGGGTATCCGGAGCTCAGGTCTCGTGTAACAGCAGTACGGGTTATCGCCCCCAAATCGCAGCCTTTGCCCGCAGAAAGGCAAGGGAAGCAACAGTATGGATGGAATCATAGGGCAGGAACGTCTGCAAGAGAGCGGCCGGCATGTACTGAGGGTTGCAGATCTGAACCCTTACGACTAGCGGCTGACAATAGCGACAAGGGTAGAGCGGGCGGGACCTGCATCAGGAGTCAAATACAGAGCAAATATCAACAAACCTGCATGGCAAATGCTGGATCTCGAGACCGATGATGCATAAGATATGATACCTGCAGGTTACCTTCCCGAGGAGAGAGCTTCCAGCGTGATTCATTGGTGGAAACCGTGAACTATCTGCAACAGGCTCAACAGAGGAAGAGAACTTTACGTACGATGAAGCTTGTTTGTAAGCTAAAAGCTGTAAAGAGCCTAGAAGACCTCAATTCTTGAAGGCCGGAACTCCTGCTCGATAACCTGAACAGCTTTCTCCCAGCCCCCGAGAACGGGTAAATCGTGGGGTACGGGTGATAGAATCAAGAGTGTAGAAAGTGTTGATTTATTCTAGTATGAGAGAGCTGAGAGCTATATATGTGGAAGTAGCCAAGAGGCTAATTCCTACACAGGAATAGGGGCGAAACCCTATATACCAACAACGGGAAGGGGCCCCGCAATAGGGCTATGGGAAAACCTCCCATTGGATGAAATGCATTACCGGTGCTTACATTGATCATGGTTAAGTGGACGAAGGGACCAATGTCATGAAATTGAAGGTCACGGAGTCAACTCCAGCTAGAATTGGGTATTGCTGCCCTAGCCTTTATCTGGATGTGGGTCGGTGAGTATCCGTGCTTAGCTCGGCAACGGGGGGCCATTCGCTCGCTTGTTTGTTTATTTACTAAAAAGCCTATACATACACTTATTACTGGCGCGCTGATCGCAGAAATGTTGGTTACAATTACCACTATCAATCGAACTTCTTACTCCTCTCCATCATGCGCGTTAGCTTATCTGCTCGTAGTTGAAAATTTCTTCAGCTTCCAGCAAGTTCTCAAGACTCAAAAGCATTCAAATGTTCCAGAGTCCACCGCGACAGTGGTCCGGCCGGTCGTTCGTATCCATCAATCGCTAGATAATCTTCAAAACAATGCAACTAAATCTCATATTCGATACTAATAACTCGCATATATTGATCCAGGAGTAGCCACCATCTTAGAACTTCGTAGCCCATAGCAGTTTTATCTCCGTTTCAATAGCAAGCTTATCAAACTAATTCAATACAGCAGCAGCCGCAGCCGCAGCAGCATTAAATAGCCTCTAAGCGATCATTTTACGTACTTCCTCTGTGCTATAATAATAAATAAAGGTTCTATTTTGTTTCTGCGCTTTCAAGTTCAAGTCCTCAAGAGCTATCTAGTCTATCTTGGCACCTGGTACCGATCGTATATTACCTGTGGATAAAGGCAAATTTTCGACTAGAGAAGCATTAGAATCGCAGCTTGACTCGGTTGGCCGAAATAGGGTCAGCCTTGGTGTTCATTTTGATACTTGAGGAAACGAATATTTTCGAGATACCGCCAAGCAGGCCCAAAGATACCAAAACCGGATATGAGAAGCTGAGAAACTACGTAAGTAGGCTGAGAGTAGATTAATTTGATCTCCTATCTAACCACACTGCGAATTCTCTACTCGGTAGTGAAAAAGAGGCATGGTTCAAACAGAAAAGAGAAGACCTCCTCACGAACTCGATGATGGGGATACACCTGACCTAGAATTTATCCGTTATCAGACCGTAACGAAGTAGCAGAGTCGATGAGAGTAGATACATACGGATAATTCTGATTCTGGAATACTAGCCCTTAGGCATCCATCCACTTCAGAAAGAATACACCGTGGCTGAGACTTGAGCCTTGCACCTGACAAATAGCGCTAGACCTCAGTTGCCAGTCGTTTGGAAGCTGTGCAACATCATTCCCAGATTCTTCTCTCATCGACGGCTTCTCTTATTCGGTGCCCCATCTCACGTCAGCAGCCAGCACTCGTATCATGATATCGTTGATCGTTCGGGTAAAAAGATGCTCGGGACGCACTCACTCCCAGATCAATCGGGAGTCGTAATTCATATCGATGGCGTCGTACACAAAGCCTTATCTCTGCCGTACGTCAGACGACTGAGGCTTTTTGAAACGTGGGCTATCGGCCGGGACACACGTTGACATATATAACATGCCAGTAAGATATAAGAATCTTGAGGATAGCGATCAAATTTGCCGTAGCCAAGATATATCAAGGCATCGATTGTTATTTTCCAGACCAAACGAGACGTCAGATTAGGCTTATTCGGAATGAACTTGCGCTCACGTAATTTTTTTGAAAGTCGTTATGTCTTGAAATACCCGAGCTCTTGGTGCATGCGGCACGGTGGGCAATGAATATGTGTCGTGGGAAGAGATGCTCCGGTGCGTTAGTGCAGCAAAGCCGTGAGTCCAAACAAAGAGCCTGCAAACTCGAACCTCGACCCCGATATAATATAGCTGCACGCTGCCAGCCAGCCGTCGAAAGAAAGAAAGAAAAGCTTCCCGCTTTACGCCCGTAGCCTCATCGCCCCGAATGCATTGATCGTGAGTCTGACCCGCCAAGTGTCTTACATGCCTATAGCCTTACCGGCGTGGGCTGCGTGCGACGACTCAAGCCACAAATCAAAAGACACCGAGCCGAGTATGATCAATATGGATCTTGGCTGCTTACCTAGACAAAGGAAATGCGTTTTATGCCATCTAACGAGTCCGAATTATAAATATGGTATTTACGGGACGCACGAGCAGGTCTGGTCTCGGTGAGTTAGTAACGGGACGGCATCGGGGTATTTTCAGCCTTAGCGAGCCGGCATGACAAGGTGGATTATCGGACTCGCTTAACGGCTTGGTGGGCTCAGTAGGTAAGAATTGCGCTAAGCCTCCGTGGCTTCAGATGAGGTTGAGCATAAAGAGAGGCCGCTAATCGTGATTCCAAAGGGCTTCTTTGATGCAGCAACACAGTTATCTCTGTATAATCTTGGCCCTTTCCAGATACTTATACACCTTGACTTTGAACATCTCTTTCAGCTAGGACTCTACACTTGTTCTTGTTTACAATATCCGTCAATCACTTGAACAACTCTCACGATGAAACAGCATTATGTGGCTCAAGACTGCGCCAAAGTTACCCCTGGAGACTGTTCAGTCGAGAATACCATTTACGGGTACCTCCCAAACCTACCCGCCAATGCGTTTTTCATAGCCATCTTCGCTCTCTTAGCCGCGGCGCAACTCGGTCTCGGGATCCCAAAGAAGACATACTTCTACAGCCTCGCAATAGCCATCGGCTGCATTGGTGAGTGTATCGGTTACGGGGGCCGATTAATGATGCACAAAAACCCAGTAAGGTCCCTATCACTTTGTCTTTGTTCCCTGCCCAGGGACACAAACTCGCGTAAGAGGGACTAGCTATCTAACATAACCAAAAGTACAGCGACACAGGCTTCACAATCCAAATCTCCTGCCTCATCTTCTCCCCGGCGTTCATAGCGGCCGGCATCTACCTCACCCTGAAGCACCTCGTCCGCGCCTTCGGGGAGCAGCGCTCCCGCATCCCCGCCCGCTGGTACACCTGGATCTTCATCACCTGCGACTTCATCTCGCTCCTCCTGCAGGCCATCGGAGGCGGCATGGCCGGCAGCGCCGGCGACGACGCGGACCTCCGCGATCTCGGGACCGACCTCATGATCGCTGGTATCGTGTGGCAGGTCGCCACGCTCCTCGCCTTCGCCGGGCTCGTGGTCGACTACGTCGTGCGCACGCGCTTCGCATGGGAGGCGGTCGATCCCCAGGCCAAGGCGCTGCTCGCGTCGGGGAAGTTCAAGGGCTTCGTGGCCGCCGTCACCGTCGCCTTCGTGACCGTCTTCCTGCGCTGCGTGTACCGCATCGTCGAGATGGTTGGGGGCTGGGCGAACCCCATCATGCGGGACGAGCCTAGCTTTATTGTGTTTGAAGGAGTGTAGGTTTTCCCCCACCCTGACCTACTTACGTCAATCGTACTGAGTCGATCGAAATGCTGAATGTGGCTTGCTAGAATGATCGTGCTTGCCGTCCTGGCTATGACCGTCTTCCATCCCGGGTACTGCTTCCCCCAAAAGACACGGCCGACAAAGGCTGGCTCGCTGGAGGCGGGTAACGATAGCGATGCGACCCGCCAGCATGAGAAATTCACGAGAGGATCTGGGTGAATGGCGATCCTGGATCCGAGGAGCAGAATTCCCAGAGACGGAAATTACATGCGTGGCGTGGGTGGTTGACGATTGCTTTTTATGATTATATATGCGCAGCGTACGCTTGATTCTATACCATTTTTGGCGTGTAAAACGGAGCAAGGTGTATTGGGGTGACATTTTTGCTTTGGATAGGGTCTAATAGATCAGATAGCCGCAAATCCGAACGGGTATATCGACAGATCCAGACCTTTCAAGCTCTCGACGCTTGGTCCCAGGCCTTCTTCATGTGCAGTCGAGCATGTAAAGCCAAACAGATATACTTCATGGTAATACAAATTCAAAAAAAAAAGGAAAAAAAAGGAGCCACGGATACTCTACGGAAACCTTTCCTTGATCAAATTAAATCAATCAAAAAAGATAAATAAACATAATCCACCAAGCCGCAACCCATCTGCCTTTTCCTATTCCTAAAAGAGGAAGCTGCCGAAGCTAGTTTAGTAACCACCGCTAAAGACGAGATGTGTATTAGATCTTGCTAATCGAGCATCCATCCATGCCCAGTCAGAACTCTCTAAATATACGAAATCACACAATCATTTAAAGCGCGAATCTTCTCTTCCAATTCTTTACAGGGTCTTGACGCCGACGCGATAATGCATCATTACTATATACCGCGAAACTATCGAAACCCGGCTCTGATCATGAAATTAAACTATTTTACAACTGTTATCTTGTCCGACCTCGTATTGCGATCTAAGTTCACACGTGCGTATCAATAGCGAGATGAATCACTCGATCAGATTATGATAGAATTTGAATTGAGGGGAAGTGGGACAGTTGCATCCTGGGAGAAGCTGGAGGTATGTACGTAGTTGGATTTTGATACTACATGTCGCGTTCTCGGACCTCGGCTAGGTATGGTTTTGAAAAGTATAAAAATGTTCTCGCTTTAGTAATAAGTTATCGGCTTTACAACTTCTCTTTCGTCGAAAAGATTCTGTTGCACATCGCACTTTCTAACCTCGGTTGTAGCTCTTGTATTCAGAGCGGGGTCTATTACATTCGGTCTACAGAGAGCCGGCTTGGTATTTGTTAAAGTTACCGACCGGCTTTACGAATCTCACTTTCGAAACGATTGTTGCATATCGCAGTTTGTAACCTCGGTAATTGTTTTTGTAGCCGGAGAAAAGGTCTACTCGGTCCGGAGCTGGTTTTGGTATTAGATAACTGGCTGTGCAAATATGAACAAGTAAAAATTTTCGTTAGTCATTTCTGAAGGGTGCATTCCATACCCCCTGAGATCTACTTCCCGCGAGGCTCACAAATGGTAATGAAAGGCGACATGACACCTCCCATAAAAAGCCTCCCAGTCTGGGTATCATGGACCGCGATTGTCAACCCAGATAACACTGTTCCGTCATCCTCCAGTAGCTTATCAACGGTGTACTGCGCATCGTGACCCGGATGGCCTTTGCTGCCTGCACCCTGGTCCCCTTTTCCAGCTCTCTTGATCTTCAACACCGTGCTGGGAACTTTAATGTCGAAGGGTGTAGCAGAGGATTCTAACCAGATGTGTAGACGTGGAAAGGCTGCGGCGAAGAGATCGCCGTTTTTATCAACTGACAGGTTGTCGAGTGGGAAGCCTGTTTCGATGGTTCTGATTTTTTCTAGGAGATGGTCTGCGGTGAGTTCGAAGACGGCGACTGTACCGTCTATTGAGCTTGGTACGTAGATGAGACCATCTCGCCCTCTGACGAGACCATTTGGTAACTTTAATTTAGAGTCCGGAGAAGCATTGTGGCAGCGGTTGCGATGGCAGTAAATTACTGCTCCTCCTCCAATGATCACGTCTAGTGATTGACGCTGAGGCGGTTAGTAAACCACAACTCAGTGATTCTGTTCAGACATTTGATACTTACAAATCCAACCTTAGCACTATGTGAATTCGTAAAGACAAAGGTATCTTCGCTCACCCAAGCGACTCGATTGGGGGTCTGGATGAGCGGGTCGGTATATGTCTGCACGTGACGCATCTTGTCACTTCCAACTTTCGTCTGGAATTGTTCGATGGTAGAATTGGCACCAAATTTTGAAGCATCAAGAAAAGCTCCAGTGACTGGATCGAGCGGGGGGCGGTGATTGTTGAGCAGGATGTGGAGGGTGTCCGTGTTTTCGTCTGCGCGAATATTGAGACCGTGTAGGTTCAAAGTTCCATCACCATTGATACCAGAGAAGTCCTCGATGGCGAGCCACTTGATACGTGAGGCAAGACGGCCTGAGCCCCGGGTGTCGAGGACGGCGATACGGTCTGTCAAGCCGCGCCCGGAGGCATTGAGATGATGGACCCTGATGTTGTCAGCCAAAGTTTCTAGTCTAGACTGAGAAGGATAGAGACGAACGCAGGAAGCCATTGAGTACGACTCTGAGAGTCTGAACATGCCATGTAAAGATGTCCAGTCTTCTCGTGCAGCCACATGTCCTCGCACCCCTCAAGTCCTAGCTCGTCGACATTCTCGCACTTCAAATCGGGGAATTCATCGATTGACTGGACCTCACGTCCATAACCGAGGGTTTGATAAATGAAGTGTTTGAAAAGAAATTGGTAGAGAACTGCAACGAAAACAATGCTGACGACAGCACCTCTCGAAGCAAAGGTGGCCACTGAGTTGGCCATTTTGGGACCACGTCGTCAATAGCCAAGCGGAAAAACAATAACAGCAGAAAAATCAAGAAACTATCCAAGACTATATCGATGTGTCTAGTTGAGGCAAAGAATTTGTGATACAAAGCTCGCACGCTCAAGCGCTTAGATCAAAAGACAAAAGAGGAGGAGGGGGAGCTCCCCACGTATTTCACAGCCTCTGCACTGGTCACGCTGTCTCATACATGGGCCTGCAGCTTGAATCAAACCTCGCACGCACAAGATCAACACAGCAGAAGCAATATTTGAAGCAATTAGAAGATGGTATGGAGTATATCCTCAACTCAAGCATCGGGACTTGGGAACGTTGTTCAACCAAATGACTGCTGACTAATGCCCAGATGCTTGCCGAGACCTCGCTGCATCTTTAAGTACTGTACGCCGGATAAAGACAGACGCAACGTCAGCTCCGAAACCCCTCTAGATCCTCGCAAATCGACATTGCATGTATATAACAAGCCAATAAAACTGCTTTCACCTCTCAATTTTCCAGTGCTGTCTCTTCGTCTTCTCAATATACAAAGAAGTGACCATCTACGAGCAATTGACTTCGCAGCAGATATATCCCAACGCCAGCAGCAACCATGCCAGGCAGTATATCAATCCAGGAGATCTCCAAGCACAATATCCCAGAAGATCTCTGGATAGTGGTCGACGACAATGTCTACAACCTCACAGAATTCGCCCCAAACCATCCTGGCGGTGCTGACAGTACGTCTACCTTCCTACGTACATACAATTTCTGACCATCCATCAGTAATCCACCGCTACGCAGGCCGCGATGCCTCCTCCGCCTACAATGAAATCCACGCCCCTTCTCTAATCAAGAGCTCGCTGCCCCTTTCCAAACACGTAGGCCAAATCGACACCTCCTCCATAACCACCGAATGGGCCAAGCCACCCCCGAGCGTCACGGCCTCCCTTCCCCCCAACGCCAAACCACCTCTGGATACCCTGATCTCTACACACGATTTTGTATCTTCCGCTCGCGCCACCCTTACTAAGAAAACCTGGGCCTTTTACTCCTCCGCTGCCACAGACTTGCGAACGAAAGAAAGAAATAACTCGGCATACGCGGATATTGGACTACGGCCCAGGATACTGGTCGATGTAAAGGACGTAGATACCAGCACCAAAATGCTAGGGCAGAACATGAGCGTTCCGATCTTTTGCTCGCCGGCTGCCATGGCCAAGATGGTACATCCCGATGGCGAGAAGGGCTTAGCGAGGGGGTGTAAGAACTCGGGGATCCCGCAGTGTGTCTCAACCAATGCCTCCTTTCCCATTGCCGAAATCTTCAACTCGGTCTCGGGACCTGGCCATTACGGCCATTTCGAGATGGAGACCGAAATGCCGATATTCTTCCAGCTCTACGTCGACAAGCAGCGAGAGAAGAGCGAGAAGCTTTTGAATGACGTGGAGAAACTGGGCGTCAAAGCTATCTTCGTGACTGTCGACGCCCCAGTCCCGGGGAAGAGAGAAGAAGACGAACGCGTGAAAGCGGACGAATCCCTCTCCACCCCCATGAGCGGCGCCAAAGCGAAGAATGACTCCAAAGGCGGTTCTCTCGGCCGAATCATGGGCGCCTATATTGACGCCTCGCTTTCTTGGAAGGATCTTCCCTGGCTGCGCTCATGCACGTCCCTTCCTATTGTACTCAAAGGCGTGCAGACGTACATGGATGTGCAGAAAGCGGCCGAGATGGGGATTGAGGGCGTGTTGCTGAGTAACCATGGAGGAAGGAGCTTGGATACAGCCCCAGCGCCGGTGTTGCTGTTGCTTGAGCTGCAGAAGAATTGCCCGGGCGTGTTTGACAAGCTTGAAGTCTTCGTCGATGGGGGCATTATGCGAGGCACGGACATATTCAAGGCGTTGTGTCTTGGGGCTAGGAGCTGCGGGATTGGGAGGGGCTTTCTGTATGCGTTGAATTATGGAAGTGAAGGCGTGGAGAAGTATGTTGAGAGTAAGTCCTTGCCCTCTTATATCTTAATACCGACGTGGGTGGTGGGTAATGCTGACGTCGGCATAGTTCTTAGAGACGAGTTGGAGACAACTATGCGGATGATGGGCGTTACGGACCTGAGCCAAGTGCATCCCGGCATGCTGAATACCGGCGCGGTAGATCATCTGATACCCGGCGGAGTGGAACATCCTTATGCCAAGTGGCGTCCGAAGGCCAAGATATAGCCTTTTCCAGGCTTGCATGCACCACCACTGTCAAGGCTCTTCTTGGCTGACTTCGGTCCGGCCTCGATCCATATCGTTCTGCGACTTACTCATATCCACTAGCTAAGCTTCTAAAGCTTGCGATAGCATAGGTACTCTGCCCTGCCTGCTCCTTTAGTTCCTACTTCGAACCAACTACAGTTTCTTTCTCTTTTTGTAATCCACTCCTGTGATTCCATCCTATTTCGTAAAGGAAATTTCCAGCGCAGTCGATAGACAGCCCAGCACATCTTGAAATGCTTTCTTCTAGGGTCATCTTGTATGTGTATGTAACTCCTTAGCTTAGCTTAGCCTAGCTTAGCTTAGCTTAGCACGTCTTCGCCGTACCTGTCGCGTCACGCTCTCATTCATTCATCTTCGCTTTCCTTACTTACTTCCTATCCTATCATCCTACGTAACCGGGCGAATCAGAGAAGAGGTTAAGGGATTTACATCACGTGGAGTAGGTTAGATTAGATATTTGGATTGATCTTGGCTTCTCCATTCTTGGCTGGCCCGGATCTGTTCTGGAGAGTTTACAGCTTTGATTACAGCTTTGATTATTGAAGCCCAGAAGGCGGGAAATTCTTTTTTTCTTTCCAATTAATTTTTTTTTATTTGGAATGGATGGATGGATGGAATAGGTAGCAATTCTGGAGACTCACCGGTGTACCTTACCTTACCTAGGGTTAGGCGAGAATTAAGCGAGTGAGTGAGTGCCCTCCCTTCCTTCCTCTTACGTATCTAGCCTAGCCTGACCTCGGCGATGACCTCGGCAAAGAGGGAGCGAGCGCTGAATCGTCTCGCGAGGCATTTATCTGGTGAGCGGAAATGGAAGAGCGAGGGTGTCGAGTCTCAACCAGAGAGGACCTGTCAGAGAATAGGCAGGGCTGGTTCGATCTTCCGACCCGCCAGAGCAATGATCGATGTTACGTCTGGAAGTGGTTGGGGCTCTGCTGAAGCGGGATATATCCCACACCTCGATCTTCCAGACGAGACAGCCAGACGAGACAGCCGTGCATCTGCCCGAGAGATAGTGTCATCCCCGCGTAGATAGGCGCCAGAGCCACAGAGGTCCGTCCATATATGTACGATCGCGGCGATCGCCGTCCATAGAGCAACTTCAGGAATCACCGGTCCCTTGGTGAAAGCGCGTCCTGCGCCTTGAAACAAGGGACGAAGACGTTCCGCAAAATTTGTCCGTCCAAGTTACAAAGCACCGTTACCACAACGGAGCAAGAAAAGGTCGGCGGAGTGCCAGGGTATGAGAGCTAATAGCTCGAGATCATTCCTAGCGAGAGGTTCGAGAGGTTCAACTACCTATCCCATCACACCAGGGACTAACCAGGTTGCAATCCACACCCGGTTCCCACAATGCACGCCAGCGTGCCGCTGACAGAAACCGTGGATTTGAACTCATCGTCATGTACTTGGAAATAAATATTCTTAAAGATTTCCAGTAGCTGACACGGACTTGCGGGAGTATTTAACGACGGGATGCAGGGCCCCCCAAGTCTTGATTTCGGTACTTGCAACTTTTCCGTAGACATATCCAGAAGTGGTGTTGTTAATGCCATGGCGAGAGCAGTGGACGATTGGATCCCTAGATTGTACCGGGCTGAAAATCGGGAAAGAAATTGCACAGCTTGACTGCTAGAGGGTGGCCAAGTCTTGGGGGTTGCGGCCTCATCTTGTGAATTTATGCCTCAGGCTGTAACTATCCAATCAGACTCGCTACGGCGGCCGGCCATCACGCCGTTAAAGTGCAAGCGTGAGAACTAATGCCATGATTCTGGCGTCTGTACGAGTAGCAGTGGGGTTGACCTCGACGTCACAACTTCTTTGTGCTCTTCCCTAAAAGTTGCGAGGTGAACTCCCACCTTGAATTTGACATGCTGTAAAACTCGGAACACTCAACCAACGGCACATGGCAGCGGTCAACATGTACACCATATGCATATTCACAAGGCTGCACGCTGGCAAAAGTTCAATACGTCTTCTTCATCATTCTATTTATTTTGAACTCCTTCCAAAGGATGTATCTAACCCAGGATCTTCTCTGCAGTCGAGACAGTGGCTCCGGTGTTATCAGGTTCCACGCTGATGCTCTTCACCTTTCCGCCCTCAACGACCATCGCGTATCTCTTGCTTCGGTTCGTGCCGAGGAGAGGAGCAGCTGCGAACTCGACATCGAGGGCACGGGTGAACTCTCCGCTGGGGTCGCCGAGGAAGCGGATGCCGGACGAGGCGTCCTTGTCGAGGGACTTGCCCCAGGCCGCCATGCTATCGTGCTGTTAGCCGTTGCTCGCTCTGGCAGAAGAAGGAAGTGTTTGAAGTGTGCAGTTTGCAGTTTGCAGTTCGCACGAGAGAAGAGACGTACACAAATGAGTCATTGACGGAGACGACAAAGACCTTTCCGGCGCTCTTCAGTTTGGGGTGGGCGATGAAGCCGGGGATGTGAGAGTCAGTGCATGTCGGGCCTGCAAACTCGTTAGCAATGACACCATGCTGATTTCTTTGCACCGAAGCTTCGCAGTTGATTGGGGATTGGGTCCAAAGCTTCAATTCCGAGGCGGACTTACTGAAAGCCGCTGGGACACCGATGATGATTCCCGATCCAGACGCAAGCTCCGAAGCCAGATCAATCTTGTTGTCAGGCAGACCCTCGACGAGAGGAATGCTGGGAATGCTGTCTCCGACCTTGACCATAGTGGCGAGTGTGAAGGGGTTGATTGATTGTAGAGGGAGTGGGTTGATGTGGGAGTGGATTGTCTAAGAATTTTGATGGAGAGCAAAGATGAGGAAAGGAGGTTGAGGTCAGTGGTAGTGGTAGTGGTGCTGGTGATGGTGACGGTGAGTGTGATGGTGATGGTATAATGAGGGGTGGTTAAGGTAGTTAAGTACTTTACCCCACCTCGCCGGGGCCTCCAACTCTAAATCCTGCGGCTAGGTTACAAGAGGAATGGCCTGAAGCAGTCATTTGAAATACTTGGAGCAACAACTACAACTACAACAACAACCACAACTTCCTACGGACTTTATCCCCCTCCCTGAAATAAAAGCGAAAGTGTAATAGGTACCATGCCAAACCACTCATATACTGTAGGCACCTTCGGTTTCGAAGAAGGAGGATCGTTCGGAGCTCTCTGTATTCCATCTTGAAACGTGGGGCAGTAGAGAAATCCCCTCTTACCGGGCCGTTGGGAAACTCAAATATGACCAACGTCAGGATTGCGAAATACAGAGATTTGTACGTAGTATTTAGTACGAAGTAGGTATTTGTCACGAACTAGGTATTCCTGGCATTCTAGCTACCTATCTTTTTCGGCTTGGTCAGATAATCTCAATCGGCCTTATCTTTTGGTCTATAGCCAGCACGTGATTTGCTACTTCCGTCTTCACTTTACAGCAAATATCAGGTAAATCGATCATCCGTAAAACCTATCCGAATACTTTCATTTTGCACGGCCCATCGATCTGATATGCAGATCAAGCCCTTCTGTACAGGCCCGAAAAACGTAAAGGCTGCAATCCATCTCCTCGCCGGTTATCCTCGCCAGAATCCTCAACCTCGCATCTCCGGTTCCACCCAGCCCTCTTCAACTTTCTTTCGCTTCAATTCCTCACAGCTCCCCGTCTCCAGCATTGCTTTGGCGTTCGGAGTTCGTGGACAACGCCTCCGTATTCCTCCGTTCAGTATCACATTCCGCTTCGTCTTGCACCGCTTGCATCTTCGCTTGTTGTCGCTTTTTCGCCTTCATATCGTTGTATGGATTTCTCATCGCCTTGAAGATAGACTGCTCCATGAAAATCTCCCACTCAGTAGGCTGCTTCGTGCTGTTGGCCTCTGAGTGGCCCGAGTCACATGACATGAGCTTTGGTGGTCGATGGTGTCGTGGAGCTGACTGCGGATGGAGAACAGTTTGGAGCGAGGAAGTCTCTGGATGGAGTTCCGAGGGATTATCCAATTCGATCTTGATCTGATATGCATGTAATGAAGCTGGGGGCTGGTTGTTTATGAGAGTTTTGCATTCACCCATGATAACGGCTTGCGAATGTATGCTCTCTATGCTGAGGGTCTGTAGAAGATGCGATTTAGCTTTGAGATGGGGTGGAGGTGGCATGATAAAAATCGAAAACCGGTGGGAATATGAGAAGCTGTCAGCTGCGGCACTCTGCCTGCATGTCAGACTCAGTCAATCACGCCACATGTCTTAGGCTTCGGTAGGATTTCCCGGAATCTACGATATTTGGCTTCTCCGCTTCAAGGAGAGAGATCCGTAGACATGTGCCAATCTATCAATCTAATATAGCACAGAGTCGGACTGCTCTAAGACGATCCAAGGAGCCAAGTGTATGTTTATATCCTCACGTGACTACCCTCTTCCCTATTTAATCCAGGGGCTCCGATGGATTGCTTAACACCATTATGTAAACACTCATAGGTTAGCGTCTTTCTTCTTCGACTTCTTGCATCCTCAAGTTTTCTTTTCGCGTTTTGGAAATAGGTCTGGGCTGCTAAGCTTCTGTCCGCTAAGACATTAGCTAGGAAGGTGCGATCTGGGAGCTAACAAATCTCGATCTCTTTTCGTTACGATCTTTTTTTCGTTAAATAACTACAGGTATTGCAATTCAAGCTGACGAGATACTCGCAATACACAGGTATAGATGTCCTATACAACTTCTATATGAATCACTGTAAAGGTCCAGATCAGGGGGCAGGAAGACGACCCACTTTGACACCAGCAGAGGTAGACCCCGAGTGCCCAAATATTGCGCCTGAAAACATCTCCGCTGCCAATCCCATCCTCCCGAGTGACTACCAGTAGTTTAACCTATGAATCTCAAAGCTAAAAGGTTTGCTCCTGCGTAATTTAATCACGTGAAAGGTTTGGAGTTGCCGAGCCCGATCGGTACCACCCCGACGTCTGCACTTGACGATGATCTTATCGTCAACATCAGTGCCGCTCAGCGAAGCACTCTTTAGGCGGCCTTGTATAAAAATCGAGACCAAGATGCATATCCTCGTTTCCCAAAATCCTGACAGCCAATTCCCAATGCTCGTCTCTTCCGGGGCCACCGTCCTCACATAGAGGCAGGTATATAGTATATACACATAGCTCATCACATCTCACTGCGAAATGCAAGCTAGAAAGTCGAAGATGAAGATGTTTTGGTAGCTTGCAACGTGATCCAGCCGGCCTCCACCAGGCGCTGTGAAAAAAAAAACGAGGCGAGAAAACAAAAAAATTATCTACTCTATAGAACCAAACCTCGCGAGGGCTTCCATCAGCCGGTGAACCCGGGGTGGTAGCTCAGCGGTATGACTGCTGAGCGGCCGCGCCACTCACCGGTTGGTAAAAAGTTATAATGGTGTATATCCTATTATAATACAATGCGGCAACACGGTACAGATCTATTAAGTTGGATCTGTAAGCTGGAACCCCCTAACATCCCGTTGTTCAGGGGCTTCCGGCAGAGGGGCAGAGATTGAAAAATGTCTATAATGTTGTGTATATCCCATTATAGCACCAAATAACCTATTCAGTTAGGTTTGTAGGCTGGAACCTCGTAACATCCCGTTGTTGCGAGCTTCCAGCTGAGTTTTGCAGTTTTTTTCAATTTTTTTTTTCATATATACTTTTGGTATTCTCTTTTTTTTCTCGTATTCTTTGGACAAGATACAAAACGAAGGTGATGATAGATAAGGCGCGCTCATTCACTCGATCTGACGAGGCTAGGTACGAAGCGGAGGAGGGAATTTTAATTAAAGTATATTGCGCTTGAACTCGTACTCGGTTTCTTTAAGAATAGCTGCAAACCTTTTAACTAGCAGATGCTCGAAGCGTTTAGAAGATAAAGAAGAGCTCCTTACCACCCCGATCATGTATGATCCCAATAATCCCAACATCAAGAGCAGAAACACTCTTCAATGGGGCCTCTACCAGCGAGAGCTGTTCTGGAAGGAACATGACGGCGAAGTCCCTCCCCTTAGCACCGAACCAGGAGATCTCCAGGATCCGGCAAATAGGGCGCTGACAATTGGCGGCTGGTAAGCCCTCTAGAAAGTACAAACCAACCACAGCCTTCATTCAACGAACAGATAGATCCAGGTACTACGCCTCCTCTACTGCAGGCCAATCCTACACCCATCTCGCCAATCGACAGGCATTCGACCGCCACCGGGTCATCATCCCCCGGAAGCTCGTCGACGCGAGCAAAGGCGATACGGAAACCACCGTCTTCGGACACAAGGCCAGCGCGCCCATCGGCTTTGCCCCCATCGGAAATCAACAAGATCTACCACCCCGCTTGGCGAAGCTCCCAGTAGCCTAGGGCGCGAAGGCGCTGAGCCTGCCATACTGTCTCTCCATCCACCGCGGGCTCAATCCCCCCTCGAGGCTGTCGCGGCGGCCAACGGCGAGGGGCTCACGGTTCCTCCAGCTCTACATGCCACACGACGACGAGGGCGCAGCGAGCCTGCTCCCGCGGGCCGCGGATAGCGGCTTCTCGGCTTGCATCTTGACGGTGGATACGCGGCAGCTGGCATGGAGACGCTGCGATGCGGCGGGTTCGGATTATTGCGCCTTCTATCGCGGCATCAGTGCAGATCCCGGACTGTCGGACCCGGTTTTCCAAAAGAGAATGGAGGAGGCGGGCGTTGATCCTGTCGAGCAGCCTAAAAGAGGCAGGGGGCCATGTGGACCGATGGTGTGTGGCATGAACGGGCCTGGAGCTGGGAGAAGACGCCTTGGCTGATGGAGACGTGGAAGAGACATAGCGGCGAGAAGCCATTTTGCCTGAAGGGCACCGCGCAGGCGTGCAAGTCGATAGTGCAATCGCCAGCTTAAATGCGCTAGAGAGGATCGTCAACGTATTCTCTGCTCCTGGGATATCTTCCAGGCCTTGGCACTGGCAGCCAAATTCGTCCTTGTTGGCCGCCTCTGGGTTTGGATCAAATCAGGCGTTGGGGCATGGTTTCCGACATCAGGGGCAGCGAGGGGAAGCGTATCTTGGTGAACAATATGCTACGGTCATTGTGATGAAGAGACGACGACGAGAAAGATTATGCCAAGTCGGTTGTCAGAATGCCTGGGAATAGATTTGGGGGGATTCCTGCTGACGGAACACCCTCAGCCCTTGGAGCACGATAGCAGAGAGCGACATGGATGTAACGATGAGCGAGAGAGGGAAAACAAAGCCAAGAAGGTATATTTACTTTGCTGTAAGCTCCTCGCTTAAAAACTCAGGGGTTAAGCCAGCAACGATAGATATTACACCGTTCAACTACAAAGACTCTTCTCTCCTCCTCTCCTCTCCTCTCCTCTCCTCTCCTCTCCTCTCCTCTCCTCTCCTCTCCTCTCCTCTCCTCTCCTCTCCTCTCCTCTCCTCTCCTCCCCCCACCTATCTACACACCCCTTTCAGCCATTCAACCCCTTTCAATCCTCCCAAATATCAGCTTAACTAGAGCAATCCTGGTTTTTTTTTTCCTTTTTTTTTTTCAGACAAATCATAACGCGATCTAGAAGGTGCTCCCGACACCGCTGCTTCCCTTCCCTCCCCATCGAATTTTCCTCCCCCCCCCCCCCCTAATCCAATTTCCAAATTCCACCCCTGCTACACTACTTTCAAAACCCCTTCCTCCTCTTCCCTTTCACCTCCCCATCACCCGTCCCAAGATCCCGTCACCAATCGATTCTAAATACGATTGATCCCCTGGCAGGCAGGCATTATGAAAACGGAGCAGAGAGGGCCGTCCAGTCCAGTCCGGTCCGGTCCACGAACGCGTCATATTTACATTCACGATAAAGAAAGAAAGACTTTAAATTTTCGGGGTTGGGATTGCGCAATAAATTTTTTTTTTTTATATATTAATCAGGAAGCTGACCACCACAAGGTGGGGCTGTATGGTATTTTGGGAGTTCTGGAGATGGAGCCGAGGTATAAAACATTCCATAAACAACGCCGGCTCCGAAGATTACTAAGATAGTAAGAGAAAGGAGATCTGCAGCTTTGTAGAAAGTTAGTTTTGATACAGATGCCATTATCTATTGCAAAAAGCCCGGGTCATCTAGATCAACTAGCTTTGATATACTTGCAGAACATGAAGTAAATACTCAATTGACTGTGTATAGTTGATCAGGCGCCACTCAAACAATGACTTGAGCGCAAATAGTAACATACCTCCATCCGATATCTGTAGCAATGAGAGCAATCAGTTAATGCGACATAGTACAATGCCATCGTTCATCAACATATCCCTCGGCGCCGTCTCACATCCTGACGCGGAAGAGGTATCGGAGGCGGATTTGGGCAACGTCGTAGGCGATGTACTCATTGTATTGAAGGTAGGCATATGGAACACCAGTATCACCAACAGGTATACTGACGTCCGGCCTGTGAGGCATCGGTTAGTAGGTTTGTGATGGATGTGAGGTCAAGACTTGCATTGTAATGCCTTTGAGAGATGGATGGACCGCTTCAGCGTCTTTCCAAGCATTTGGTCCAGTCATTCCTTGACCCCACCTATATATCCGTCAGTACACCCCGTATACAAAAGCTAGAACATTTACGTTGACATCATCCCCCTTGCCTTGGCATCTTCGCCCGCGGAATATAATGCATTCGTCAGAACCAGCTTGGGATCACCAAGCTCTGCTTCACAGAGAAGAAGCAAGGCATGGCCGTTTGATGCGTGTGAGAAGCAGTAGTTGGCAGATTTGGATGACATATCTGCAAGGTAGATTCCCTTTCCAAACATATATCCAGACGCGGGAGCTTCGGGAGGGGCGATGCGCAGACCTTGGCTGAGAATGCCGCCGAAGTTCGTGGCACGAGATCCATGCCACAAAAGTCGGCGGTCTCTAGGTGGTCCTGCGAAAGGGCTGTTGTCAAACCGATTCTTCTCGCCTTGGCGTTCAATGCGGAAGATCTGATCAACGTGGTAGTTTGCGTTGTGTGTGGCACCCCGCGTATCGACAAGATAGTTTTTGAGCTCTTGAAACTCGATACTTTCCCGCTTCAACACTGTCATCTCCTCCAGATCAAGACCTCGGAATTGTCGGTCAAGTGCATTCACCTTCTCCGCATCCTTGGGCTCTTTCCTCATGATGTTCTGGGCATCCTTCATATCGCTCAAATTGTCTAAGAGCTCGACTTCTTTGTTGATCGTTTCTTGGGTTTGGATGATCGGAGGTCGGTTACGACCAAACGCGTGAGGAATGACAGAGTAGAATTGGTTCGAAAGGTCTTCGAGAGCCTGCGCATAAGTGGTGCCGTATTCGATCTGCGCCAATGTCTGATCGTTGATCAGGTCACATAAATCCTTCAGTGCTTGGTAGCCCTTGACGATGGTACTCTTTGCTAGCTTTCCAAGTGGAAGCCTTGGTCAGGATGTCAACAATGACTCGTTTTACATATCTCGAGAGTTTCTCAGAAGTACGATACGAGAGATATCCGGAAAAGGGGGAAGGCTATCGCTCGATCAACTCACTTATTGGTGTCATAGTTGAAATCGGCCATGGTGTTGGCAAAGTATTGCTGGTTGAAGATCAACTCCATCAAATCTTGTACGGCAGTTGGCAACTTTGAATCTGGGGCCTTTTCTTGCTTCACCCCGGGTGCATCCTTGGTCTTGACCTTCTGTTCCTCCTCCTCGTCTGACTCTTCACCGTAGCTCCTCTCAATGAATGTGTACTTGCCTGACTTTGGCTTGCCAGCTCTATCTGACCAGGAAAGGCCGCTTTTGCCCCTGAACTTGCCCTCGAACTGTTTCATGGCATCATGAAGGCTTCCGTCTCCGAGAAGACTACTCTGACCGCGGTCACCAACTCGGCCCCATCTGGTCCAGGTGCGATAGTTGCCGCCGCGGTGAAGAAGCTGTAGATGTCAGGCTGGAGTTTCTAAAGAAGGGCTAGAGCCTACTTGGATCAGATAGAACTTGTTATTATTGTTACTCGTGTTGGTTTGGTTGAGAGCAGCGTCGTAGATGATGCGATCCCTGTCAATGTACACTTCGTAATGCGTCAGAGTGCAGACTTCATCAACGGGAATCTTCAGGTGGGAAAGCGTTGCTATATTTCCTATGGTCTCGCCTGAGGTGGCTAGTCCCTCTAGTTTAGACTCTGGTATAGGTCTCGCAGTAATCTTCGAATCTTCTTCGTCCCTGACCTGGGAGTTGGTGGTACTCGCAGGCTTGGATTTCTTCTTCGACTGGGGTGGCACTTTTCCCTCTTCCTCCTCCTCGTCTTCTTTGCGGTCGATGTAGACAGCTGCCAAGTTGCGCTTTGGTCGACTAGGATTGCTAATGGGAGCAGATGGAGCAGTAGCAAGGGCTGAGCTACCGAAGCTGTAGCTGTCTTTGCTCAACTTCGTGCTCTATAGGGAGGAGTGAGCAGCTGCTAGATCGAGATGGTCTCATGCTTTTCTGGGAGCATTGGGACAATTAGAACCTACCTGCTCCAGACAATCCTCTAGCCAGGCCAGCGTAAGGATGGGTATGTCATATGACTTTGCCTGACTGACCTTGACCGAGGGCTGTAGGAGAGAGGGGAGTCAGCAATTGCCTATTACATGGAATATGAGGAATACCAGCAAAAGAGATGGTAGCCCCCGGAGCGGTGACCTACTTTGGCGAAGTCGCTGGTGGTTGTGATGAGGTGGGTGGTATCAGCATTGACCGTCTTCGAAAGATTTGCGCCCAGGACTTGAATGAGGTCCTTGTCAATGGCACCTTGCGAGCGGTTCGGAAAGGTGCCGCTGAGGGCGACGACGCATCCTTGGAGTGGGAGACTTGCTGCTTTCCGCGACGGTGCCATTTTGTAGGGGTTGTCAGTCTCGAGTCTTGATAGAGTGAACTTCCACAGTGCCTTGAAAGGAGAATGGGTGCGATATTATTTGGGGGTCGTTACTTCGGATGGTCAATTAGGAAGAGCAAAAGGAAGAAAACAGGAAGAGGAAGAGAAAAAGGAGACGAAGACGAAACCGAGGATGGGAAATTGTGTCGCGAGCTTCACGCCAAAACACGTGACGTGCTCTCCTGCCTGGCTCGTGGTTACTCTACCTCCGTACTACTTGGTCTTGGTACTTGATTTCATTTGATTTGATTCCATTTGATTGATCCGAATATCTTCCCGTCCCGCTCGCTGATCGAGGACATCGAAAACTCCCGATAGGCACCAGTCATCAGTCACGGGACTATTAGGCATCCAGTCATAAATCACGGGACTGTTTCTAGCTAAGCGCTACATACCACAGCTCATAACTTCTCAAACCTCCCATTCCCGACTCCGTTCTAAATCTCCCTCCATCTTCCATCCACGGTGAAAATAGACATGCAGACTTTGAGGAAGTCCGTTGTGCCGTCTCTCGGTGGGACAATCACAGCACAATCCTCCCAACTGGCTTCGGGAATTCCCATCGAAGTTTTGCTCAACGTCAGTTCTCATCTAAAAACTCCCGATTATTGCGCGCTTCGAATTTCATGCAAGCAAATAGAGGACAAGCTTCTCGATGCTTTCGCGCAAGAGTTCTTTACCAAGAGACAGTTCATGTGGGTAGAGCTCAGTTTCCAAGCGCTTGTTGATATCTCACATTCGCGCTTCTCAAACAGCTTGAACTATGTTATATTCAGCCTGGAACAGCCAATTTGGAGATTTCCCACAGAAATGACCGGCCCATTGGTGAGTGATCTCATTTCCTGATTCCGGTGATGTCCCCTCCCAAGATGTTCTACTTACAAACAGTGTGGTTTCTGACTCGGAGAATGCTGACCCTGGATTTACAGAATGCAGCTACCGGTGACATTGAAATCCTTGAAAATCGGATTAACCGTACGTTCAAAACCCTCCACTATGTACCCTTCTTCACCACGGGTCAAGGTACGTGGACAGAGCCCCTTTCATTCGAATTCAGACAGTCTTGCCCCACTCCCGAAACATTTTCCACCAGGCAATGACTAACCCGCTCGGTGTCGCCTCAAGATGTGGAAATGCTTGCAGAAGCATTTGGAAACTTGAGAAATCTGGAGACGATCGGAATCCGCGATTTCAATTCACGAACTAGGAGACGCGACTATCCGGATGACGCGTGGAAGAGTACGTTGCCCTCGAAGTCAGAATTCTACGGCCATCTCCGGTGGTTTTCAGTTCTCTGGGGCTACTCTGGCTACATCTCCACCTGATGCATCGCGATATCACTTATATCTGTCGTGCTTGGCTAAATAAATCACAGGCTATGGCTCCACTACCATTAAGCGAGAATCTGGACCTCTTGTTCTTCATGACGACAATCGGCCTAGGCATCCCATTTTCAATAATTGTTCCGGGAGCGAGTATGGATTAATGAATCATGTTTTCATGGGCGTCCTTCGGGGTGCAGGGAAGTCATCTTCGCCGTCCAAGGGACTGGGGTTAGAGGTCATAATGCGACGTGGCTCATTCACGGATACGGTGCTGAGTTTACCACCTTATGTTCTGCCCGTTTTACGACCAGTCCTGAGACATCTACGAGTGTTGTTCTTGGATTTGAGCTCCAACACCGGATGTATACAGCTGAATATCAATGGTATCGCGACTAAATGTAAGTCCCAATGAGCCATGACCATTGAGCTTACATTTTGTATTTGCTTACATCACTGCCCAGGCCCAAATTACTTCTTGATGAAGTTTCTTTCCGAAACCACCGAACTTGATCATCTGCGTCTAAACTTTAGGTCGACCTGGGGCAGTAAAAGTGGCGGCGATTTTCTTTCCTGGTTATCCAAATCCGCTCCCACCGACCTCGCAACGCCCACGCAAATTTCCGAGCTCCCGCGTCCTGTCGATTTCAAGCATCTCAGAAGAATCGACATCGGCATGTTTGAGGTTGAGCCCAATGCTGTCCTGGCAACCATGCGCAAGTTCCAAGCAACAATCGAGACTATTAGCCTACACAGGCTGACACTCACGAATACCGACGTGCTTGCAGCCGGAGAAAGGGTGAACCTCTGTAAATATTATCCATTTTCTCAAGCTCTCTAGGGGCATGACAAATGCTGACTTACCCAGGGGCCAAATTATTCGGGCAATTAGCAAAGTTGGATCTCAACCTTAAGGTCAGTAATATTTCCTCTCCTCGAACAGCGACTCATCATGATTCAGGGTATCAACATGTCCCACCTCGCCCAGCATGTAATAGACAGGGGCAATGTCCATGTCAAGGAGGTGACATTCAAAGACTCCAAGTGGCCACGAACGAGGAACTGGGCTGGCACGGGTACACAGAGCGCTCTGCGCGACTTCAAGGATATGGTGATTGTGGTTCGTCTGAACGAGAATTCTGAGAGTGATAGCAGCGAGAATGACTCGGAACGTATGTCACCAATCTGTCGTAAAGGTTTCAAAATTGCTGACGGCAAAAGAATCAACGACAGACCGCAACCCGGATGAGGACAGTGGGGACAATGAGGATGAGGATGATGACTGAATTCCGGTTTTAAATAGCATCAAATTTCCTGTTAGTTTTATGAAGAAGTCGAAGTTACCTTTCTTTTACTTTATTACTCCATAGCAACCTCCTGGTGCTTTTCCTTCATGGCCCCTTCCAACGACTCAAGCGACCTCTTCCACCCCTCTACCCTAGCATTCAGCGTCTCAAGCGTCTCCCAATCCTCCGTCAACGGCTTCTCACTCGCCAATCCCTCTTCAAACTCCCGCCACACAGTCTGCAACGCCACCAGCGCATTCCTAATATTGAACAAAGCCATATACGCCTCGTCCAATTTGCGATAGTAATCCGCAATTCCCACGACCTCCTCCACTTTCAAACTCGTCGACTTTATTTTCTCCAATTTCCTCTCCCAATAAGCCCCCTCCCCCAGCTTCCTCACTTCTTTACCCTCCAGCAGCTTTCCATCGGGGTTCGCCAGCAAATTGACATCACCCTGCAAGCCCTCGACATCTCTTAGGGCCTCGCCCACTGTCTCCACCAGGGCCTCCGTCTTGAGCCGACGAAAAATCTCCAGCATGGCCGTAAACGTCGCTCTAGCATCTGCAACCACCTTCTGCTGCGTCGTGACCTCGGGCCCTTGGAACGACACTTCGACTCCAAAGTCCGACGTGCGGAGCCTCTTCAGGGCCATCGCGGTCCAGATCCGCGCCGTGTCAGCTACGCGCCCGATCTTCTCGCTGACGCGAAAAAGCGCTCCGTTGATGCGATGCTGCCTCTCGTGGGCCTCTTTCCCAACGAGTTTCCACTTCTCTTCGCTACAATCGACGAAAGAAACACCAACATTTCGTCAGTCCCCAGTCACACACAAAGAGATCTGGCACGCGGGGATCCCCGTCTCGCTAAATAGACAAATGCAATCGGAGGGAGAAGAGGAGGTGGTGGTGAACTTACGACGCTTCATCTGGCAGGCGGTAGGCCATCACCAGTGCCGTCAGCGACCCGCTCTGCTTCACCAGCGCGACTGGGATATCAGCTAGCCTCGCTCCAAGATCATCGAGGATCGCGACGTAGTCCCCGAATACAAGTCCATCGCTGATCACCCAGCCGGTCTTCGGGTGGTGCACCGGTGGCAACTCGGGGAACCAGTGAGGCGAGTCGCTATTCTCAGACGACTGCGCGCGAGAAGACGAGTGCGACGGGTCTGCCGTAACCCCTTTCCGACCGCCGTGAGCGCTGCGGAACGTCGACGAAGAGATGCACTTCTCCAGGTTGGAGGAGAGAGGGAGGTAGCAGACCACGGGCGTCTGGCCGGTCGCGGTGTTTGCGAGGGAATAGTCGATTCGGAGCCAGATACTGAGGATTGCGAGCATGACGGCGATCAGATGATGAGGCTTGAGTCTGGTCTCGTCGGCTTCTTCCTCGACGACTGGGAGTTGAGCCGTTCGGCGCGGGGACATTGGGGATCGGGGAGATTGGCGGTTGATGGGCGTCATGGGCGTCATGGGCGTCATGGGTGTGGTAGGAGGGACGGGGATCACGGGAGATCTAGGACTGAAGAGCTGGCGAGGTGATAGAGTCTGGGAGGATCGCTGGCTTGGAGATCGAAGCCGGGGGCTTTGGGAACTGTATTGATAGTCCGCCATCGTATCGTGTGATTCGGCTGGGCTGTGCAATTTGCCGGGCTTGGGGAGATGTAGAAATGGAAGAGAGGAGAGGAGATTGATTATACATAATGGTATTTTTATCGTCTTCTTTGCTTTGCTGGAGTGTTCTGTCTTTGTTTACTTTTTGGAAATTTCCGCCGCAAACGGCCACGTCCACCCTCCCTTGTGTCGCTTACACTGCATTGGTGGGCGGGGGCTTGAAAATATGAGAATAGATCCTGGTAGATGTCATACAGGAATGTGCTTTCTTCGAATTGTGCTTACTACGTGACATACATACATACATACATATGGTGGCTCCGTTCCGATGATTGCTCTGGCCGAGTTGATGCTAAGAACATTCAAGAAATTTCGATCACAATAATTACTAGCATATATATACTACGGGCGCCGAGGTGTGTAAATCTTTCAAAAGTACGTTGGCCATTGATACTTTGACTCGTCAAAGCATCAGAGTCGGAAAATGTATATACAACGCTTGATTACGAGGGCTTTTGTGGTGATGAAGCCATATTTATCTATCCCAGGTTTCCAACACGAACGGGAATTCGTCTTTGATTAAGTTGGCATAGCTTAACTCCAAGCTAAAAATTACCTTTCACGCACTTCTAAAAGTGTGGGTGGCCGCCGCCGACACCAACCGCTTTGTAAGTGTCGCGCCAATAATACATATAGACTGATACACCTTATCCTATTGCACGCCCGCAATCGTTCGAAAGTTCTTTTCTGACAGCGGCCGAAAGTTCTCTCGCCACTCAGCCACAGAGTATCGCATGGACTTGATCCACTTCTGCAACTCCGCGTCCACATTCGTCCCTTCCAGGATCAACGAGCCGTGCGGAATCAGGAAGAGCCTCGTCGCAATCTCATACTCTCCGAGCAGCTCCCTCGACACTTCCACAGCTTTGCGCGCCCGCGCAACGGCACCCACATACTCGGCAATCTCTGAACAGTTGAACGCGTCGAGCCTGTCCTTCATGTACGGCTGGAGATTCCTCCGCCACAGATCCTCATCCTGGAGTGCGTGCATGTCTGGTTTGTGTGGACGGCCGCCTTGGGGATGTGCGAGCGTGCTCAGGATAAGGTCCATCTGCGCAATCGCTGGGAGCATTCTGTCGATGGTACGTCGGAGGGCGTGGGCCCGCGGCTCTATCATTGCGAAGATGTCGTGAACCGCGTTCGCAATGTCGTTCTCTGCTTTAGTTCCGACTCTGCGGCTTCCATACACACGATCTTTCCTCCCAAAATCCTGTGCGTGGAAATCTAGCTGTGCAGTATACTGCAGCGATTTGGTTGCCATGTACTCGCTGTTGGAAATGAGTTGGGCGAATTGATCGGGCAGGTTTGAGCGCAGCTTGTGGAATTTCACACGGAGCTCTATCATGTTCGGTTCGCTGGGCACTGACATCAGCATGATCTGCTCTTTCTCGCAATATTCAAATGGAACTTTCTCTCGAGAATTGCTTGGATTGTGCCTGAATCCATACGAAGGAGGGGGAGCGCTTACGACAATCCCCCTGCTCTCCGGCCTGCTAAAGACCACTGCCAAACGAAGTCATCGCCATTATCAAAACCGCCTTTCAGCAGTTCCGTCACCAGATAATTGTCAACTGCGACCTGATGGATCTTCCGAACCAAATCGACGTACTCGAGGCCGCGAGCGACGCGATGTATCGACGTGACTGTCGTCCCGCTAGATCTCGAAGATCGCCCAGCTGCTCTCCAACGGGCAAACCCGCTTTGGAACAGCTCCCGCATGTTCCGCGCCGCTCCTGCTTCAGAACACTTCTCCGGTCGAGGCCAGTGGGGAAGGTAGCAGACGACCGGGGTCTGGCTGCTGTTGGCCAGCGCATAGTCGACCCTGAGCCAGAAGCCCACGATCGCGAGCATGATCGCGAAGAGGAGGTATAGTTTCAGTCTCCTGGAATCTTCTGGTCCCTCTTCTGGCAGGTCCAGCTCTTGTTTCTCGATGGGCTCTTCGTCTTTGTCATCAATGTCGTCGGGGGCGAAGCCGACGTGGCGGCGCCGCTCCCGGAGCGGCTTGGGGTCGTAGTGTCTTTCCGTCATGGTGATTTCCAGAACCTGTATAATCCTGAGAGCTATCGAGAAGCCTGGAGATGGATTCCATGCGACTGCGTTGGGGATGTCATGGTTTTCTTTGTTTAGAGCTCGGGCGCATTGTTTCCTTGGCCGTTTGCAGCCGACCTCCCTCGACGCTACAAGCCCTCTTTGTCGCAACAAGATAATCCGTGACAAAGAGGAAGTAGCCATGCGTAGCTCCAGCTTTCTTGAATTTTCAGATCTGATAGGTAGGAGGCAACGGATCAGCCGTTTGCGGGCCAGTCTTCCGACCAGACCTCCGGAAAGCAAAGCGAAATTGCGCTAAGCGAGCCAGCCCCTGCGAGTTTAGCGAGGGCACGCTCTACTCTACCGCTCTCTCCTAATGTGGATCGAATGAAAGCTTAAACAGCAAACCGAGGTCCTCGCCGGAGCAGACGCACAGCTGGAACTCAAATACCCTAACACCATCTCCTTCTCAACACCAAAGGGAATCAATGCTTCAAAAACGATGAGAGCGGCGTCATGAAATCTCTCTGAGCCTTCTACCCACGATCTCACTAAAGCCGGGTATCTGGTTTTGATTCAGCGAGAGAGTTATGTACCTCTTTTGTTTTGGAACATGATACAGTTGCTAGTATTAGCAGTCTAAGTTCTGTCTTGGTTATCAGTATCCGAAAAGTCAATGGTCCAGTTTTTTTTTTATTTTTTTTTTTATTTTTTTTCTCTTCTTCTTTTTTTCTTTTTTTTCTTTTTTTTTTTTTTTTTTTTGGTCAAACTTTGCCGTTTGCAGCAATCAACCGAGTCGTCTCGCACGCGTAAATACCTATAGAATTATAATATCCACCGAGAGCAGTCGGATCAGACCAGGAGCCAGGCAAAACCAAGCAGGTCGTGGCCAGATGACAACAATTGATTTTCTTTTCTCTCTCTTTGCATTAGTGCTGGATCTGTCCGATTCGTTTGGGTTGGTCATCAGCGCGAGAGAATATGGGAGACGATGTCCAAAATTAACAAATTGTTACACTGGGCTTCATTTCAACATATTGTCTGCGGATTTGCTTGTCGCAATGCGTATTTCCCATGCTTGAAATTAGTTGCTGCGGGAAACAAGCATATCCAAGGAGTCTATTCACGGATAAAGATGGTTCGATGTTAAGAATTGACCCGAATGATGTAATTTTCTTCATCACGGATGTTTATCCGCTCTGCACAGTTGCGTTCATCTATACGCTTCCTCTTCAATGTACTCAGCATATCGCACGCCTATTCTCGGGGCTATATGAAATGAATGATGAGTAGTGAGTGAGTGACCTTGGTGATCTTCCCCCAGCGTCACTTACTTGGATCTCAGCCCGGCCGCCATATCCTGAATGCCATTGTTATTTACATTTTTCTCTCGACAATGATCTTCATCAAGACGTAGCTGTATGCATTGAGATGTCTTCTTTGCTTTCAGGACGTCGACAAATGGGGGTTTCAAGCTGTGTTCGGCAGTCGATGCTTGAAAGGAGAAGCCGCATTTTGATGCCGTGAACAAAGCGCAAGATTCGGCCCCGATGACAAAGAATGAGATGCGCGATGTAAGATATATGTACGCAAAATGCACTCCTCCGGCCTTTCGGGAAGTATTCGGAATAGAAATTTGCGAGATAGCACTTGCGATGGTGGACAATGCGGAAAACAACAATGCGGCAGCGGCGGCGGCAGCAGCAGCAGCAACGCGGCAATCATCATGGATAAGATTGACAGTGACAGCGGGAGCGGTATTGATTATTACCTCGGTAGTGTCGATCGCAATGCTAAACTTGGGTGCGTTTTTTCCATCGCTGTCGTACGATCCGACACATGATAGAGTTGTGAGATCGGAGTACGTGACTGCGAGAGCCGGAAAAATCCTCTTGAAGCCAACAATTTCGCGCGCGACATATGTGCGAGCAGAAGAGACGGGGTAAGATCCTACTGCCTGCCGGGCCCCTGTGTTGAGCCACTGGCTGATGAATACTAGGGAAGCGATAGCCGAGTTCCCTGCCGAAGATTCCACCCAGGGATTTCTCGACCGGTTCGGATTTTTTGGGGGAGTCCCATCTACAACATCCGACAGTGACACAGCTCACGGCGAGACGAGGCAGAGACAAGCGCGCGAGAGGACAGAGAGCAAGTTGGCCCAGTACTCAGCGAAACTAGAATCATACGAGAAGGCAAAGCAAAGCCGAACGGCCGAGAAAGAAAGCAGCAAGGCGTCTAAGTCCGCGGCTAGGAAGACGGCCTACGAGGAAGCAAAGCAGAGCCAGATTGTTGAGCAGGAAAGAAGGAAAGTATCCAAGATCAAGACTAGCGATAGCGAGACAATCTTATCCGAAAAAGACAAGAGCAAGTTGGCCAAGTACTCGGCGAAAATCGAATCTTACGACAAGGCAAAGCAAAGCCAAACGGCCGAGAGGGAGAGCAGCAAGGCGTCGAAGTACTCGGCTAGGAAGACGGCTTACGAAGCAGCAAAGCAAAGCCAAGTTGCTAAGCAAGAAGAAAGGGAAGCTTCGAAAGCTGAAATTTCCCAAACTCCAGCCGAGAAGGACAGAGTGAAGCTGTCCAAGTACGCGGCTAAAATAACAGCCTACGAGAGAGCAAAAAAAATCCAAACGGCCGAGAGGGAAAGCAGCAAGGCGTCTAAGTCCGCGGCTAGGAAGACGGCCCACGAGGAAGCAAAGCAGAGCCAGCAGGTCGAGCAAGAAAAAAGGAAAGCAAGTGCCGAGCAAGAAAAAAAGGAAGCATCCAAGGCCAAGCACAGCGACAGCGAAACAACCCCCCTATTCGAGAAACACAAGAGCAAGATGGCCAAGTACTCGGCGAAAATTGAATCTTACGAAAGGGCAAAGCAAAGCCAAACGGCCGAGAGGGAAAGCAGCAAAGCGTCTAAATCCGCAGCTAGGAAGACGGCTTACGAGGAAGCAAAGCAAAGCCAAGTTGCTAAGCACGAAGAAAGGGAAGCTTTTGTCCAAACAACTCCAGCCGAGAAGGAAAGAGTGAAGCTGTCCAAGTACGCGGCTAAAATAATGGCCTACGAAATGGCAAAACAAAGCCATGCTGCTCAGCAAAAAGAGAAAGGGGCGTCTAGGATCAAAAATGCCAAGACAATTCTGGTGGAGAAGGAACGACTGAAAGCGTCCAGGGACTCGGCTAGCAAAACGGCTCGCGAAAAGGCAAGGCAAAGTCAAGTCCTTGAGCAAGAAGAGAGGGAAGCTTCGAAAATAAAGAAGGGAGGAACAACTCTAGCTGAGAAGGATAGGATGAAGGTGTCCAAGTACGCGGCCAAAATGATGGCTTACGAAGAGGCAAGGCAAAGCCAAGCTGCGGAGCGGGAAAATAGAAAGGCGTCTAGAATCAAGGATTGGGAAGCAGCCCAAGCTGAGAAGGAGAAGGTCAAGAGGTTGAGAATGGAGCCAGGAGAGGAGATTCTGGAAACCTCGACGTCCAGTGCCACGTCGTCCAGTCGGAGCCACAAAAACAAGTGAGTAGTGATGATGATTAGTCGGGAACGAGTTGAAGGAGCATGGCTGACATTGAATAAGGGAAAGCCCGACGCTCACAAGCAAGGCACAGCCGACAGGTCTCTTGGGCTGGGGATCCAGTGTCGCACAGAAGGCCTTGGACCGCATCACATTGAAGAAAGACGACGGATGGCGCACCGAAGCCGAGGGAGACGAGAGGGGAGCGGGCACCAGAGCGGCGACGCAGGCTACGAGTGGCAAGTTGACTGGTATCCCCGAGATCAAGCCATCGAGCAGTTCGCCGGCGCCGCGCAGCAGAACCCCCGTGGAGTTGCCGCCGAAGTCTCCTGGGAAAAGTGGGAGCGAGCCCTCCACGTCCACGGCGGATGCGCCAGAAAATGAGACTGAGGAGCGGAGCCGGCCAGTCGAATCTGCCGAAGCGAAAACTCGGTGGCGTGAAACGCTTCAGGGCTGGGCGGGGTATTGGAAGAGAGCACGGAGGGAACATGACCCGATTGATACGCCATCTATCAAGAAATATGCATCTTCATCGCTCGCGGACTCAGAGGAGAGTTCTTTTAGCAAAGGCGGAAAGATCACGAAAGAAGACAAGACGTCTGTCGATGGGAAGAAGGATACAGAGCCGAAGCCATCTGCATCAGGCCAAGCGGAAGATGAATCCGAGATTGGGACACAGAAGCCAGGTAGAGAAAACAACCCTAGGCAGCCTTCGGAGTCGAGTGATCCATCGTCGCTCTGGTCGCAGGTTAAGAGTGCCCCTTCGGATTTTATGGCTTGGTGGGCAGAAGCCTTGCGGCTCCCTGACGAGACGAAGGATGAGGTGAACCGACAAAAACAGGCGGCAGAGACGACGGGTGAACGTATACTGAAGGAAGCATCGTCAAAAACAGAAGAAGGGGTCCCGTCGTCAGAGAAACAGAGTCCCGAAACCCCCAGAACGTCTCTAGGCTCGTCGAAGACTGTATGGAAGCATCTGTCTTCCTGGGGGAGATCCTCACGGCAGGGTGCAGCCTACAACGAAGATTCGCTAGCTGGAGAAAGCAATTTCCCGGCCCAGGAGGAAACTTCTTTCGGGAGTACTGCTCATGCTCACTCAAGAGGCCAAGATGAATCGACGGATGCCGTCTCGGAACATCCCAAGCAGGAGGAGAGCTCAAAGCACGATCTGGCATCAGAAGATCGAGAGACGGACTGGGCAAGCCCATCCAGCCAGTACGAAGCAGCAGATGCCGGTACATCCGAGACACACACCACAAAGCAGAAACAGGCGGCAATCGAGGCAGCAGATAAAGAGCTCTTCGAGAGTCTGAGCCCCAGCTCGTGGGGAAGCCAGATGATGCCTGCCTGGCTCACGAGATATCTACCCACATCTGCGACGCGCCCACCATCTTCTTCCGCATCTTCGAGGCTGAAGGCGGGCCCTTCCAAAGCTCGGAGGTGGCAGCCTGGATCCTTCAGCTTTCCAGGCGAGAGGGCCCCGACGAGCCAAGAGCAGCGTGTCGCGACGGCGCTGGATTTGACCTTGTCCCTCTACTCCGTCATCGACCAGTTGATGGCCGAGGGTGACAGCCATCACCTCAACGTCACCCGCTTGCAAAAGGCTTGGGACCGCGTCAGCTCCTCGTCTAAGGTGCTCGACTCCAGCCAGCTCATCAACAAGATGGCCCGGGAGAGTGACGGTCGTGATCGCCTTCAGACTTACCCGGGCGTAGTGCACAGGTTCAGTGATTTGGCCAGGAGCCTCGCGGGAGTCTCGATACAGATTGTGAATGGGGAAATCACCGAGGAGATGGCTTCGAGATGGCTGAATGAGAGTACGAAGGATAGTATTGAAGCGTTTGTGCAGCAGATCAAGAAGCGGCCTCATTTTGCGTTTGACGAAGAACTGGTGTCGGAGGGGTTCCATTGGCAGATTTTGACTGACTGTAAGGAGATCTTGCGACTTTCCAGGGATGCGTTGAGCAAAAATTATGCTTCGGTCGAAATATAATACAATTTTTTTCTATTAGCTAGATTTCCTCGGTAGATGATGAACATTCTAATATTTCACTTGAATGTCACATACCGACTTCGAGTCAAACAGCTCTCTCGCATGAAGTTCCAGAAGGTCTGTCTGGGAGGTTCTCATAAATGTGACGACATCTCTAGGCCGGAATGCCAGAGCCTAAGCTGCAAAAATATCGAGTATCGGTGAGGTGAAACGGACGAGCTAGCATACTTGGTTATGCCATGGCAATGACGCTCAAAGCCAGCCATGCAGCGGGAAAACGGCCGGAATAAGTTTTAATTGCAATTTCAAATAAGAATCAATACAGCAGGCGCCAACCCGAACTTCAAGTTCGAACCATCACTGGAACCAAAATCAGAGGCAAAGCGTGCTCAAGAAAGAAAGCGTCCGAGTTTCGCCGACGTCGCTGGAACTCCGTAGACAAGGTCTTCAGTAGAACCTCGTCAGCGAGACTCTGCACCTGCTCAGAAAAGCGAATCTCGTCCTATCTCTCAACAATCCCCAGCTGGAAATTCTCCAAGCCTTTTCTCCCGCCCTCAACAATCGACAGGTACCTACTGAGACCACCCTTCAAATCCTTCTCATCATCGAACCGCTTGTGCTTAGCTAGCCAAAGACTGAAGAAATATTGTTTGAGCCTCAAATCCACAAGCATATACTTACTCCCGGCAACAGAATCTCGCAATGCCGCAATATCCGCAGCATAAGCAGCAAGGATTTTTGCGGGAGCTGTACCACTGGGCTCAACGCTGTTGGCTAGGTGCAGTCGGCTCGTGAAAGGACCAAGCTGCTTTTCCCAGTACTTTGCTGAGCGCAACTTTGATTTTGCGCTTTCGCCGAGCAGTTTGCCGCTGGGATTCGCGAGAGCATTGAGGGACTGTTCGAGGGCGACGAGATCGCGGTGGACACTGCCAGCTTGGCGGGCGGCTTCTGACAGGCGAAAGAACAACTCGGATGAGAAAATTTGGAGTATTCTTTTCAGCGGATTGTTCTTATTTTTCGTAAGAGGGTTGTGTCGATAGATGAAGCTTCTGCCCGCCATTTGGATTGCAGCTCGAAACTGTGACTCGGCCGCCGTGCTAGCGGAGATAGCCTTGATAGCGAGGCTGTCTAGAGTCGAGGTGTAGTTCGAGATCCCGTGATCCAGTGTTGACAAGACCTTGCTGCGCTGCCTGGAGATCTTTCCAAAATTCTGTCTGGTAGAAAGTCAGCCATTCGTCTTCCCCGCATGCTGTACTAAGGCGATTTCTCGGATGTTTTCTTACGAGATAGGCTGCTGTTTTGACAGCCTTGTAAATCTCACAAACAAATCGTCTGCCACATCCGCACCCTTCCAATCCTCAGACGAGCTTTTGCCATTCCAAGATCTCAGGATTCGCTCCACATCTGCAGAGAAATTTAATCCCCGCTCCACGACATCCACAGGCCATTCTGAGAGGGGAGAGGCCCAAGTTGCTGAATCTTGAACCGACAGAATACGCGGTGCTTCATTGATAGAATACGGGAAGTAGAATATGATCAGGACTGCCCACCATGCTGCCAGAGATAGCGTGAGGGTATTCCGAGGTGCCAGATTCGTCGCCTGTGTGCCATGGAATTGCTTGGCAAATTCTTGCAGACTATTAGGTAGTAGTAGTAGCATCTTCGCTGGGAGAAGGGCAACTTTGTGGCCGATGGATTCAGGCTCAGGAAGGATCCGGAGTGGTGCTTCGTGGTCTGCCATGATCTAAGCACTTGGGTCTGAGTTGAGGACTTGCATGAGAATGAACGCATGATCCCATCAGTCTTCGGAGATCCCAGGGAGTTTTCTTTGTTGTGACAGTAGACCTGGCCATTGTCTCAGACCGGAATCAGTGTTGGGATGTACCGACTACGAATGCACAATTCTTTGAACAACGCAGCTTTCTAGATCAAACAGTTTTTGCCAGAAAACTGCTTTTTATACAATAAGAAGCTCGAGGATAATTATCTTAATTATAGGCAGGGAAAATGATAAGATAAGTGGTATATTCCTTGATAAATTAAATATGTATTCAAAGTGATGTCCAAATGAAGCTGCTTACGCAAAATTTACAGGTCGAAGAAGCGAACAGGAGCATGATCTCTACAGACTAGCCAAGAAGTTGTACTGGCATAGAGGTGCGAAAGCAAAACTTTTTCGGAAAATTTGGACAGTGTAGATATCAGATCTATTTGAAAAAAAGATACATTTCCAAATAATGAGCAATGAGCTCGATGGAGTGATGCCTCCTGAAGCTGTTGTCATCGTCATCGTCGTGCTCAAGCTTCGCTATACTGAAAGCTAAGGACGACGCCGCGAGCACGTGTCTTCGGTAACGGTTGGCTCTGATTAGAGTGCTTGCTAGAGTGAAATGGGGGCACGTATTTCACTGTGATTCTTTATCCATTCGAATTGCCCGCTGGGATGTGGAATTGAATTTGACAGATGATCTTGGCTGAGGGGAAACGATAATGCAGAGGATCTGATCGCAAACGCGGCCCATATGAATTTATCACGTGACTAGCAGGCTAGTTCCCCCCCCTTGAATTCCTCGGTGCATGGTTGTTGTCCATTTGCCTGCCACCCATCAAAACCGATTAAAACATCCACAGCCAATATGGCAGCTATTTATTGTGCTTCAGTATGTATGTGACACAGTCTCGACTGATTCTAGCCTCAAGTGGAGATATTTGACCTAGAATTCTCTTCTTTAGGTTTTTTGAGCCCAGATGCCCCACTTGTCAGCCACGGCACAACTTACGTAGTATCTTGGAGAGCAAATTCACGAACTCATTTACAATGTAAAAGCTCTATCTATGTACGGTCTCTGAGGAAGACATCTTCTACTTCGCAGTTACTGACTCTTCTCGCAATCTTGAGGCTAGGGACCTTGGTATCAGTGGCTGTATCGTACGTAGTTGCACACGTTAGTAGTCGAGCAGTTCCCGATATATAGAGCTCACGACTCATTCAATACAGATCACCGTTATTGTCATTTGCAGATTGTATTTCCATCCCTTCGTAAAGGATTCCGGACCGTTCCTGGCGAAAACTACAGGACTTTACGGTGCCTACTATGCCTACACCGGCGATATGCACCTCGATATCGAGAGATGCCACAAGCAATACGGTGCGTCTCCGGCCACGAATCCAGGAGCAAAGATATACTGACTGTGGCACAGGTGAATCCGTCAGATATCGCCCCAGAAGGATCTTAGTGAATTCTCCAGAGACTGAAAATTAAATAAATACTATAGCAGTAGTACATACTCGCAATACACTGTAGAGACCCTAGTAGCCTCAGTTCTAACCGCATACAGAATCGGATATGTAATTGCATATCTAATACTTTACTGCCTTCAGTACCAAGCAGTTTCTCTACTTGTGGTTGAGATCAGATTTATTTGCTACTCTTGTGAATACTTGTATGAATCTGACCAAATAGAGGATGATTCACGAGTCGGCTCGGTGAAGTCCATGTGGTTCTCATACGGTAGCTCGGGAGCTAGAGGGAAAGAAGCACTACCGTAGCGCCAAACTGAGTCTGATCTATTTAAGGAAGGAGCCCACAACCTCAACAGCACTAGCCAGCTTTGATATTTTCCGCAATACCACACAGTGGAAATACCGTCGTCTACATCTATTACCTACCTCTCGGAAAACCAAAGGTTGGTCGTTGAAGAAGTTGAAGAAGCTCCGAATCCGCCCGCAGCCAGCAGCCCGCAGCCAAGTAGCGCCGTCCAAGATATATGCTGACTGGCTTCATGCTATAGTTTCTGCACGATGGAACCAGCATACTTTAGTCCATCCCAGGCCGAGCTTGCATTGCCAGAGCTGGGCAAGCTGTCGGGTTTTGCCAAGGACCTATTCTGCGCGGTTGTACATACACTCCGCCTCGGTCTCTTCCTGGCTCATCCCCACCGCGATGTCAGAACCTTCGACAAGAGCCATCCCGGCGAGCTGAATTGCCGCAAATACGTCATCTCTGCACTTTCATCTGCCTTCATGGCAGACAAGATGTTTCCTCTGCGAAAAACTGGCGCATCAATGCAGGTATGTCCAGTACAGAATCCGACTTCTTCTCTCATCTTCTCGAGGAAAAGAACTATATATATACTCGGAGCCTATCTATTCCCAAATGCATAAACAAACAAGACTTGAGGGAACTTGAAAGCTAACGTCGGTCAAGTATATGATCGAAACATTTCGTGCGACCCGGGTCCCGATGACTTCGCAAGGTGTGATCTTCCAGCTGTGCATCTGGCGCACGTTCGCCTTCGGCAGCAGAGACAGGATGGTGGCAATCAGCCTCCATACGCCTTGGCTCCTACACTCGATCAACCTCGAGTCACTTGCCTCGACCATCAAGGCCTGGGCAGGCGTGGCTCACATCCCGGTCCCCGCCTACGGAAACCTCCAAATTCGAAAGGACTACGTCATGGATATGCTTGAGAAGCTGATGGTATTCTCGGAAATTGTTTCCAAAGTAGCCTTCATCAATCCTTACCTGGTCACCTTTGCACAGATGCAAGACAATCTGACCAAGCGCGGTATCCACGCCATCCCGGAGCATGGTCTTATCTCTTGGTTCGTTCTTGACCGGTTCTCTTCTCTCTCTGGTAAGATATATATATATGCTAATACAGTAGCAGGGTCCTCGTAAGTGATCTCTTCGAGTTTGGTCTCTGTCTCCCACCTACACCCGAAGACCTCGTCCGCCACATCACCAACACCAGTGCCCGAGGCGCCAAGAACGCCCTGAAAATGATCGCCGAGCAAGGAGCCCCAGGCCCACCCAAGACACCCGACGAGATTGTCCATGCACTGTGGGAGATCATGACTGTTTTCGACAACTCGCCTGTAGGTTCCTGGATCAGGAATGTTGTGGATTGGTGTGCAATCTGGCAGAGGAGACCTTTGAATATCATCGATATCGAGCACATCCTGTGCAAGCTTTCGAGACAGGCTAGCCGGGCTAAGCTGGGCAAGGGGAAGAAAAGCGAGATTAAGTATGAGGCCGAGACTGAGGGTGAGGGTGAGACTAAGATCAAGGATGAAGATGGGTATGAGGATGAGGATGAGGAGGAGGAGGAGGAGGAGGAGGAGGAGGAGGAGGAGGAGGAGGAGGAGGAGGAGGAGGAGGAGGAGGAGGAGGAGGAGGAGTATGAGGTGGAGTATTGGGACGAGGATGAAGACGAGGATCACGAGTTACAGCGAGAGGTAAAGCACGCGAGCCAAGAGGAACACTTAAACAGAGACGAAGCCAACTTCGACAACACCCACTTCAAGATCAAGATCGAAATCCCAGACGACGACGACTATGATATCGCCGCCCAGGCTCCGCCCAACGGGACTCGTGACCAGAGCATGCCTTCACCCAAGCCCATGACGTTCACGTTCAAGCATGGCAGCCAGAAGCGCGGCAAAAGCGGAGACCCGGCAGAGCTCGAGATGCCTAAAGTTGAAAATGAGATGCCACCGGAGAAGAAGCGCAAGCTCCTGCCTGATGCTCCTGCGCGGGAGATTATCGTGGATGAGGATTACGATGATGAGGACGATGAGGACGATGAGGACGATGATGAGGACGATGAGGAAGATGAGGACGACGACAAGAACGAGGCAAGCAGACTCAGCAGCAGCAGCAGCAGCAGCAGCAGCAGAGAAGCTACAGCAGCCGCACCGATCCTAACTTCCTTGGCGAGAGGAGAAGCCCAGGAAGTATCTGCTAGGGATGCGAAGCAAGGTGTTGCGCTTCCGGATGAGGATGACCTCTATTCGGCATAAAAATGTGTGTGTGTGTGCGTGTGTGTGTCTGTATGCGCGCGTGCGAGAGAGAGAGAGAGAGAGAGAGAGAGAGAGAGGAGGGA